ATTAATTAATTGTGGTGTTGTCCATATAGTGATGTCCATGTTTAGCGTCATCTTTTAGGTTGTTGGAAGAAGACATTTGTGATAAACACATAATTTTCTAGGCACAATTCCATTAATATATTTCTTTCATTTTGTACACCATGGCCAAATATTTTACTTCTTATTATCATTTGATTTCCAACTTTAGCATTCCAGTTTCCTATAATTTTTTTGTTCAGTTGGAATCTTTCACTTCCTCTGTATCTATGGGTAGAGCATAGATTTAAATCATATTGATTGGCTTTTCTTGGACCTGAATCAAGATCACTCTATCATTCTATCAGAGTTGTATCCTAGCACTGATGGCTACTTTATTTCTTCTATGATTTTCTTGTCTGAGGTAGAAGATTTGATTGTTTTTGTATGTAAAGTGACTTATTACAGTGAGTCCTAGAATATCAAACTTCAGTTTTGATATTTAATAGCATAAGGTTTGTCCAGGTTCATGGCTATAATGATGGTATAAATAACTGTGCAGCATCAAACCTTTATCTTTGGTCATATCAGCAGCGAGGTATCTTTTCAGATTTAATTCAAAAGGAACAATGCCACTCTCCTAGTTGCTCTTTTTCCCTATAACCCTCTGGAAACTTTCTGTCTCTGGGGAATCATCTTCCAATATCATGTTGACATTAACCTAGGTGTTAAATGCACATTTGTTTTCTTGACAGATTACTGAAGTGGATTACTTCCATCCTCCAGTGGATCATATTTACTCTGATCCCTTGGCAATTATGAGTAAGCCTTCTGGGAGTATACAGCTTCAGCAGTATAGCTCATGGTCTCATTTATACAAGTTTTTTACTACTAAAAAGCAACAGTCCATGAAGAGGGCCACCTTATACAGGCCTCAACATTTTCTGCAAGCTGCTAGGTTCTTTGATGAAAGCAAGCACTCCCACAGATCAAGTTTTTCCTGGCAAAATTATTGATCCCATAGTCTGAAGACAAAACTGAAATTATTCTTATTTGCAGTAGCAACACGGATCAAAGTTTTTTTTAAAATTGCAGTGTCTGTGATCCTATAGTCACATGGGGAGCACCTATCTGGATTTTCATTTCATTTCCTATAGCAATTCTGTTTCCAGATGGCTTTCCAACAAGCCTCCTAATATCAAAACTTTCTGGGGGAGCAAACTGCACAATTAGTCCTTACATCTGGAGGACTTAGATGCAGGAATTTTCAAAACTGCTGAGTGATTCATACTTTCTGACACTCATTAATTTTTAATAAAATGGCTGGAGACTTTTCATTAAAAAAATATTAACTTAGCTTATTTAAGGAATATAAATGGCCCTATAGTTCTTTTGCAAATTTTCTAGTAGAAATTTCATTCCTACTTGTGTGGCTTCCTCCTTTCCTTATAAGATAGTATCTGTTGGGCATATTCACTGCTTAGAATCTCATTTCATTACAGATATACAGATTTAGTCATAGACACACAAACACAGAGAGGGGGGGAGAGAGAGGAGGAGGAGAAAGGGGGAGAGAGGGGGGAAGAGAGAGAGAGAAGGATTATGTATAATATTTATTAGACTTCCTATGAGAAAATTTAGAGATGCATTCCATCATCATAGTAATATTCTCAGGCATACAGTTTGTATCACTGGAAAAACTTTGCATGGCCCATGAAAACTAGTGAGACAGCAGGATACTGTTAAAAATAATTCATTACTTTCCATGGTATTTCAAGATTACTATTCTTTGAATAATCAAATATTCCTTGATAATCTCATATTTGTCCTGAACTTCCAAATAGAAAATAAAATTATCTTTCATTTTATTTTGCCACAATGCATAATTCATTTAATGCATTCTAGAATCATATAGTCTCTCATATCTGGGCTGCAAAAATCTGAACAATCTCTAATTTGCAGCACAGAAGCATAGATGGCATCTAATGGTCATCTGAATTTTTGCATATTTCTATGATTGTTCTACGTAATTTCAAACCACATGGGTCTATAACAGTTCCAGTAGCTGCTAATTCTTGCATCTGAATTCTCTCACTGCTACTTTGTTATCTATGAACAGTATAAATTTTAAATTGCTTTTGCTGCACCCGCAGTCCTATTGCTCCTATTTCTTTCATTTCTAATTCAGTGAAAATGTTGAATAACTTTGGTATTAATCAAACAAATTTCAGGTTTCTAAGTTGATCCATTAACTGTTATTGTATATCCCACAATATTCTTGGTAGTTTACCCACCTTTAGACTCCATGAACCTATTGCTAATACAGGAATGCTTTGTCTACTCACTGAAATGGCCTACTATAGACTTGAAGTATTCTGCTGTATACAGAATCGAACTATCCTGGATCAGGCTAATCCACAAATTATATACTGCAACCTCCTATAGTTAAAAAAACCTCTTACAAATTATCTGATTAATTTGGGTCAAAATAGCTACGATATTCGTAGTCATATAATATTTTATAATCCAAATTCCACCACCAAGGAAAATGTTAGTTCACTTCCCACTACTACGTTTCTGTCACCATTATTTTCCTGATCTTTTTCGTTCATTTAGGGACAGTTTTTTAAAAAAATGGAATGTGTGTAGGGGCTCAATCTTTCTAAATTCTTCCGAAGAGTATTCAGAGGCCTTTTAAGTATGTGCCTAGAAATTCTTCCTTTGAATTTTGTAGTGATAAACACTGAATGCTTCTTTACTTATTCATGTGTTATTAACAACATTTGTATATGCTTCATATTCTGAAAACCTGAACTGTTTTCAATAAATAGACAAGTATGAAGTTAAACAGATCATAAACAGAATAGAAACAGAATAAAAACAATGCAGCCCCTCTCCAAATATTAGTGGAGCTAATGGCTAAGAAAGTCAATTATATTAAGCCAATGTTTCAAAGATGCCTAAACTCGGGCCAGCATCATAAGAGAGAAAGTCATTCCAGAGAACAGGTGCCTTGCAGGAAAACCTCTACCAACTGTCAAGCTTCAGGTTGCAGAGCAAAGAACAGAGCTTCGCTGGAGAATTGTATTGTTGGTACCTGGGGATATTTAATTGTTTCAGTTTAGTAATACCAGCTCTCTGGGTATTTTGACCATTACATAGTGGTGTGTGCTGTTACATTGATATGTAACTTTCACTAGGCCAGCAATCAGCGCAGAGATACATTCATGATAATGTTCCCTATTCAGGAGACTAGATGATGAATTGTAGGTTCCAGAATATTCCAAAGGAAAGCCCTAGAACAGTGTTTCTCAACCTTGACAATTTTAAGGCATGTGGACTTCAACTCCCAGAATTCTGAGAGTTGAAGTCCACATGCCTTAAAATTGTCAAGGTTGAGAAACACTGCCCTAGAACGTGGATTATATTAGTGAGTTTTGAAGTTACTGACGCCTGAATCTATCTAGCCAAGCTATTTTTAATCAACAATGGGCTCCACAAAGATCACCTGTTCAAGCAGCAATGACAGATCTAGGAAGCCCTTCAGAATAGGAGCCTGTTCCTTCAGGGGTCCACAATTCCATCCAGAATAGAGAATACCTTCAATTCCTATTCCTACCCAGGAGCCACTGATTCACAATGCTTGTGTTCTATTGACGTGGCTTTTATCTGTTTTCCGCTATTGCATTCAAGCAACAATTTAAGACTTGCATGACCTGTCATGATTCTGAGATCATCAAGTAATAGAGCTGGGATGACACCTCACCCCAAATGTTCTCATTACTGTATCAAGCCACTTTATAGATATCATAGATGACATTGTAAGTAAATTGAGGCATTCCACATAAAGACTGTCAGGAGGCCAAACTATAGTGCTGTGTCCCAATGCTTTGCTCCAGAACAGGTGCAGGGCTAGGACTACAAAGTGCTGCAGCAGTTCCGAATCCATAGAGCCAATACAGGTTGACACTGTAATTAAATATAGCAGAGAAATCCCACAAGAGAACAGATTGAAAGCATGTTCAGAATAGAAAAGGGAGGTGATGAATGATGTTCACGTATTACAGTATCAGAATGCAAATTTTGACCATTACATAGTGGTGTGTGCTGTTACATTGATATGTAACTTTCATGTAGACACAAGAAAGAAAGCTCAGATGTTGTACTATAACATCATGACACACATTTTGTCATTTTGGCACTATGGACCACAGTTGTTGGTATGTCCATACCATGTCCATAATGATTATGTTCCTCTCACAGGAAAGTAATCCAACACAGTAGCCAAGGGAGATCCTCTTATAATTAGGCCAGAACAGAACCCAGACTGAAGTGGATCTAGAAAATCAGTACTTATTAATAGTTATTAATACACTATTTTGGAATTTCTCCTTTTAAAAAACAAGCAATGCTTACAACAATATAGTTGGGCAAAATTTATTTTGAAAGTTGGCTAGGTTGTATTTAAATTTTGGTTCAGGTTATTTAATATATAATTCATTTGAAAATACATTTTGCAAAGAATTTTGGAGCCAACTAACTGCAGAAAATATACAAAATATATAAAGCCATCTGCTAGTGTTCCACCATTACACTTTTTCAAAATAATAGGACTGTTGTTCTCTTAATTGTCCTTCAATATCATGAAGCTATAAAATTAGGCATGTAAGGGATGGAGGCAAATTTAAAATATTTTTTATTTTCCTCTACAGTGTCACATATCTCTATATTTTATTACATCTGCACTGCTCTGCACAAAAACATTTGCTAAAAGCCTGTTTTTCTAGAGAGGCATTTTCATGCTCATGACATTTTCCATCTATATATTTTCTTCAGATTATGAATTTGATAATAAACTGCATTGAATCCAAAAAATTCATTTCTCACAAATATTCACATTCTGCCTTTCTTTTCATCAAAGAATAATTTAAAATACTGTTGTGTTCATTGAATTGTTTTCTTTATCAGTCAAATACACTTCTTTTCTGTCCTTTCTTCTTTCCTTCTTTCTTTCTTTCTTCCTTTCTTCCTTCTTTCCTTGACAGGTCATGGGTTATAGGTGCAATAGCTCTGCTCTGCCTATTGGGACTCACCTGGGCCTTTGGACTTATGTATATTAATGAAAGCACGGTGATCATGGCGTACCTCTTCACCATTTTCAATTCTCTGCAGGGAATGTTTATATTCATTTTCCATTGTGTTCTCCAAAAAAAGGTAAGGACGATGCGATGTTGATTTTGATGGTGGTGGTGGAGGTGGTGGTGGTGATGATGATGGATATTTTAAAGAAAGCAAATCAGGTGTTTAATAGCCTAATAACTACAACTTTTTTTACATACAGGGTCTTATATTTTGCACTTGTTGTGGTTTGGTTTTGAATTGGTTTGCCTAACAATAGAATGTGTCTGAACCCATGATAAAAATGAGTAGTTATTAATGATCATGGAGCTTTTCATTAAATGTACATTATTTAGAAATACATTTAAAAAATAATCCCTTTGAATTTCTCTCTGAATAGTATTATTCCAATTGATTTTATCCTGGCAGCAGTGTGGCACAGTGTAGCTTTTCAGGAGGTAGAATATTGATCTGGTTTTTGTGGTAAAGGAGCTTTTGTGATAAAGGAGAGCCAATTTGGTGTAGGTACTAGGCTAGAAACTAGGAGACCCTGAGTTCCAATGCTGCTTTAGCCCTGAAAGCCAGCTGGATGACATTGAGCCAATCCCTCTCATCTCACAGGGTGGTTGTTGCCAGGAAAATAGAAGGAGGAAGCTCCTTTACCACAAAAACCAGATCAATATTCTACCTCCTGAAAAGCTGTAGTCCCTAGCAATCTTCTTTAAAATTGTAGATCCATCTCTTGTACAGGTAGATACAGAAAATCATAGGCCAGAGAGTTTTAACACATCCTGGATAAATTGGCATAATGCAATAAAGTAATTATTATTATAAAAACTTGCTAAACAGAGTTTTTCTAATGTTAATCTTACTTCACAGCATTTAAAATGGCTTTGAATGTCAACAGACATATAAATGGGTGCGATCTATGTAAGTTAATTTTATCCATTGGAATTTGAATTGGTTGTTTCCAAGTTGTTCCAGTGATTCAAGGTTTAGGCTTCAAAAAGACTTTGACAAAGTCTTTCACTAAGACTCTAGAGTATATTTAACATCATTGGGATAAAAGGAGTTTTAATTTGATTCTTCTGGACTCAGTGACTTGTGGGTTCTTTCTAACTCTTTGATTTATTGAAGTCCTTTAATGGATTGCTAACTGATTAAAGAACAGGGAGCAGAAAGAAGTAATTAATGGATAATTTTCATAAGGTGGAAGTATCCAAAGTGAGGTCTCCTAAGGATTTGCAGTGAGATTGCTTTTTAATATATTCATAAACCACCTGGAATTACAGATGAGCAATATGGCATACATCTCCAAAATTAATCTTTCCAGCCTGGAAAAGGGACTTTAAAATGGCAAATGTAATTCACCCTAAGCAAGCAGCTAGTGATGAAGTACCATCCAGGGCCTTAAAATTCATGGCAATGTACCGTGCAGCAGCATGGAACCTTTAGAGGATTAGAAGCGTTTCTCCAATGCTTCCTGGAATGGCAATATGTCCACAGAATAAAATGCATGTTGAGATGGTCATTGCAGGTAGTGAAGAAAAGAAAAAGCAAACACTTAACATCGACAGGATAAGAAAAGTGTGAGTGGAAGCAGGAGTTTGGCAGGGAGATTAGCAAGGGAATTCAAGGGGGAGACCCTTTTGGAGTGTGTACCCTTTTCTTTTTCTTTCTACCTGTCTTCTTTCAGTCCAATCTAGTCTTCATCTAGAATTTCTCTGCACTCAATGCCACAGGAAGCAAATAGTGAAGATTTCTGTGGGAGTTTTGGGTAGGAGAGTTCATAGGGAAGGATCCAAGCTACATGGACAATGACCTGAAAAAATAGATAGAATGGACACCTTTCTGCCTGGACTATACTTGCAGGACTGGAGGAAGAGGAAGAGCTTGGATGAGAAAGCAAAGAGGCTTGAGAAAAGAGTTTCTAAACTGACATGTATAAGCAAAAATAAGACAGGATAGCTGAAGTTCTCAAGAATCAGCACAGAGATAAAAAAAATTATGAGGGAAATAAAAGACAATGGAAAAGACAAGCATATGGAAAAATCAAGGTGATTAGGATGCAATTTGTGCTTTGTTGTTAGTTGCGAAGTCGTGTCTGACTCATCATGACCCCATAGACAATGTTCCTCCAGGCCTTCCTGACCTCTACCATCTTCTGGAGTCCATTTAAGCTCACGCCTACTGCTTCAGTGACTCCATCCAGCCACCTCATTCTCTGTCGTCCCCTTCTTCTATTGCCCTCAATCTTTCCCAGCATCAGTAAGAACTCTTCTCCAGTGAGTCCTTCCTTCTCATTAGGTGGCCAAAGTATTTGAGTTTCAAATTCAGGATCTGGTCTTCTAAAGAGCAGTCAGGGTTGATCTCCTCTAGGACTGACCAGTTTGATCGCCTTGCAGTCCAGGGGACTCGCAGTCCAGGGGACTCGCAGGGGTCTTCTCCAGCACCATAGTTCAAAGGCCTCAATTCTTTGGCACTCAGCCTTTCTTATGGTCCAACTTTTGCAGCCATACATTGCAAATGGGAAAACCATGGCCTTGACTATATGTGCTTTTGTTGGCAGGGTGATGTCTCTGCTTTTTAGTATGCTGTCTAGATTTGCCATGGCTTTTGTGCTAGTGCAACTGAAAAATGAGTACAAGGCTGTCCCTAAAGGAGGACCAATAGCCACTTGAAGAATGTATGACATAACACTTTCAGAAGTCTCTGAGCCCTTATGGGAAAAAGAAATCCAAAAGGATCACTGAGAAAGAAAAGGCATCTCATGATGTTAACCTTCGAAGGTAGACAAGACTAGGAAACCAATGCCATGTAGGCCAGTACTACTTTTATTGTAAAGCTTTTGTAACAAAATCTTACAAGTCTGAATGTACTTCCTCTTCCCTTCCCTTCCCTTCCCTTCCCTTATCTTTATGTGAACTAGGCAGTGGCTTGTCTGAAATGTTTTACCCTTGTTACATTCTTGGCTCAGGTTCAGGCCTCTTTTATCTAACCATTGCCTTGGTAGTGGTGTGTCCTTCAAGGCCATTCCTTCTGTCATCTGCACAATAGGTAATTCCTTATTAAGGTGAGCCAAAAATGTGCAAACTGAATAAGAGAATGCAGAGAAGTAGGGTCTTCCAGGTACTTTTGTATAGGATGTATTGGCAAACTTACTCAAAATATTTAAATGATAACTATCCTTCTTTCTAATATATGTGAGGACAAATCACCTGCTCAGAGAGACACTTAAAGAGAGACACTATGAGGCCTTGGGCAGAAAGGTTAAGGAATTGGGAATGCAGGTAATTTTTCCATCAATCTTTCCAGTTGAGAGACATGATACAAGAAAAAAAAGTAGATCTCACAAGTCAACAACTGTTTATGCAAACAGGAATTGATGAGAAGAGCTTGAATTCTGGGACAGAGGCCTGTAGTAACTTCATGAACGACTTCTGAGAAGAAATGGAATACATTGTGCAAAAACTGAGAAAAGTCCTTGGATAGGCATCTCAACATTTTCATTGGAAAAATGTTAAATTAGGGGGAAAGTGGGAGGAAAGTAAAAGCCCAGAATTGAATTAGCAGCTAAGAACTCAGGCCAAGAAATCAGAACACAAAGAGAGTAGAATAGACATACCAAGAGAAGGAATTCAAAACATCAAATGTTTCTACCCTAGTGCACAGGTTTAGGGAAATATACAGTGAGACCTTAACTCGGGAAGACAAATATGATAGGACAGGCATTATTGAAAGTTGGAGGGATACTTAGGCACACAGCACTCAAATGTTACACTTTATTCAAAAGAAGGAGATTCGATAAAAAGTGTGGGAGTGTTGCACTGTATATAAAAAAAAACTTGCAGAGAAATTCAGGAATCCTTTTGAAAGTATTTGAGCAAGAATAAAAGTAGAGAGAAGCAAAAGTGATACCATGATAACTTTGGGGGGAGGGTTATTAAAAAGAATTACCTGAGCAGACAGAAGATATAGATGAGGTATTTCCGCATCAGATGAACAATCTTTCAATGAGGCATACAATAGTGATAATGGATGATTACAATTGTCTTATCACCTTCTGGAAATCTATATCTGCCCGGAAATCATTTCTTGTCCTCTCTTACTACCAACCTCATTTGTGAGATGGTGGGAGAAAGAACAAGGGGCTCCACTATCCTGGATCTAATCTCTTGCCACAGGGAGGAAATGGATGAAGTCTGTAGACTGGACAACAACCTAGGGAGGTATATTGTCTCCCTGGAGCAAAAGTAAAAAATATGACTGAGAGCATTACTAAAATAATCAAGCCCATAGATTACTATCCCTTTCTTCTCTTTCGTGTGGGGACAAATGATAGAACAATGAAGCTGAAAACAATATTATCTGCACTTCCAATGAAAGATCAACATCCAATGAGGGAACAAACGATTTTAGAAATCAGCCACTGGCTTAAGGAATGGTGCCATAAAGAGAACTTCAGATTCATAGACTACAGTCTGCATTACCTACAAACACTGCATCAAATGGGAGATCAAACAGGTTCCTTATGAGCCTAGCTGACAACTTTGTCATCCAAAAAGTAGAGGAGGGAACTAAAGGGTCAGCAATATTGGACTTAATTCTTAGCAAAAGAAATGAAATGATAGAAGGGGTTGAAGTTACAGGAACTTTGATGGAATTCAATACAATGCAGACACACACAATAGAACAAAATCAAACTATTATCTTAGACTTTAAAAGAGCTGATTTCAAGGATCTTAGAGCTTGGGAAGGATTACATGGATTAAAATCTTAAAGGGGAAAACAACTCAAGAAACTTGGGAAACTCTGAAAAATGTAGTTATAAAAGCCCAATCCACTACAATACCACTGAAAAAGAAAAGTAAGAAATCCAAAAAGAAACTAGCATGGTTGCATAAAGGATTCTCTGATAAATTAAAAGACAAAAGGAATAAGTATAAAAAATGGAAAGAGGGACACATAACTAAGACAGAATACCAGCATATAGCCTGAATCTGCAAAGATGAAATCAGGAAAGCAGAGGCTCAGAATGAACTAAGACTTGCAACAAATGTCAAAAATAATTTTAAAAGTTTCTTTCAACATGTAAA